GATTTGCCAACTCTATGATGCACAACTTATTGTCTGTATTTTTCTGTCTCCCAAATCTGGTGCCACGGAGGGTTTGGAAGCTTGGTTAACCGAGGACTTGACCTTATCATTCTACAGAAAGGAAGAAAGGCGAATTAGAGCGTGAGAACAAATCAACTCTGCCTTACTGTCCTCTACTACTTTCACGGACCGCTCGCTAGGCCATATTGTATCTTATCTAATGTTGTGGCACTATTTACCGTCACGAAATTGACTCGTAGCACCAATAGTTTACCAGTTTTTGATAATGCCATCTTCTTCCAACTTTATTCCTCTTATGGAACCATATTAAATGTGAAATTTTAGCTCCTCTAAGAGACTGTACAGCCTGCTCCGCGTGAATTTCCGCAGGGGTTTCACACCGGACTGAACTTTTATTTTGCGCTCTGCAAAAAAAAAACAAGGAACCATTACCTCTGTTCCAAGAAGAACTATCTGTATCAGTCGCGATTATAGGAGTATTGTGCTGTCCCGGAGAGTCTCGTTCTTGTCTGAATGTGTGGTAACAATGTGAAACTCCAAAAATTTATTCCAAAAAACTCAAAAGACACCAAAAGTCTCAAAAGTTTTTCAAAATGTATCTTATTTCTATTATGTGTGTTCGATTCAGTCTTTGCCTTAGATCTAAAGAAACGGCACATCATTCGGCACTGTTCACCCTAGGGAGAGAGGAGGGCAGGGTCTTTTCCCTTTATCTATTTTCCTTTGCTAGTCCCTGTTGAATTGCACTCCCCTTGGTGAGACTGTAACTCTTTTGAGTGTGGACAAAGTCCCTTGTTGTATAGTTTTACAGATTCCACAAGAGGGTACAGCTCGTAAGTGTGGAACACAAACGGGGGTCAGTAGTTTTCCGTGGGGGAAAGGCGCATTTAGGACTTGTTTGGGCGAGAGAGGGTCTATAGTGGCTCCACAGGTAACATTCGTGCGGCGTTAGATAGAAGTTTCCCGGTGTTGCTCTTCGGTTGTTGATCTCGATGACTATTTTTTCCCGTTTCATGTGTTGTGTCACCCCCCCCCCCTCCACCGTCTCGGCGGAAGAATTCTAGGCGAAAAAGGGAAGAGGGTGTTGCACGCCGAGACCTCTGCTTAGAGGAGGGTAGACCAAGACGCCTTTCCTCGATGGGAGGGTCGTATTGAACACACCATTTCACACATCACGATGCTGTAATCTATCATCAAGTTTCCCAGGCAATCAAATGATGAATTGGGAATCAGCAAGTACCCACCGAACTCGAATGTGCTCATACATCCCAACGAATCTTGATCTCGGCGGCTGGATGTTTCTTCTCCATGTCGAGGATAAGCCACCTCCCTCCCTCTCTTATTTAGGATCAAACGCGACCAGAGTCGGTGCCGGGTTTCAGAGCTTGGGAACACCGACAGGCTACCTCCTCTGAGCCGTATAACAGCCTTAAGAACCCAGCCGGAACTTGTACAATGGACCACGTTATTTTCCCCGAAGTATGTAGTCTGCAGGCGCATGGAGACGAGCAGCATTAGGCGTTAAGTAGGGTGTGGTTCAGAATCGTTCGCGGTTGCGGTGGATACACATTACTTGACGACTGAACTTAATTTAAGATTGATCTGTACCTGTTCTAGTTGTTTTTATTCCATTATATTAGAACTTGTTATGTTTCTTCGGGCAGTGAAACCCTTAAAGAACTCCGGGCTATGTACCCAGCAGCAGAGGTAGCTGAAGCTCCAAAAAGACGGTGATTCGTTGATTGAAATGTACATGTCGCCTATGTTTTCTTAGTTTCTGTTTTTTTTTGAAACTCCTGTTTTTTGAGCTGCAAGGTTCTCCCTTGTCTTTAAACAGCGCCACTCCAAACCCTAGCTCCTGCGACAAAGCTGAACATTAATTTTATTATTGCAGTTCTTCGATACCTGTGCAGCATTCTTGCCGTTGGTATTGTAGTAACAATTAATGTTCCTTCTGCTCCGCACGAACCGTACGCATATATTTCAACTTGTTCCAGAATTTTTTTCAAACCATCACAGTCGAACACATCTTCGTATAAGCCAACATCAAAATTCGAGACGACAGCGTTTACGGGGTGGTGCTCGATGCTCCTCCTCGCCGAGGAAAGCAGCCGGAGCTCATCAGTGGGCCGATTCCCGTGAAATCCCACAGCCACGATGGCTGCTTTAACAGGTATGTCCTGTTGATTTACTTATTTATTTGTTTATTTATTGTTTCTGTATATGTATATGCTGTGCTATGCTGAATTCTTCTGAGCTTTTGAGTCTACTTTGAGCTTCTGACATAGTGCACATCGAGTTCATTTGATACGGCCTTATGACTAATATACCGACCCCGAAGAGATGGAAATCTTGGTTGACCTGAGTGAGGATCGGCTCTCACTCGGGCCAACCAAGCCTTCTACCCTCATGGTCAGAGCGCGGTAACCAAGTACTACCAGTATCGTCGGGGGAATGTAATAACTTGTGCATCGTCTGGCCCCCGCATATCATCGTGTAGGCTATATCGCATTCAAATTACTTTTTTGAATGAATGCATCCCATGAAGGGATCGATCCTGAGTGAGGACTCGATCGTTTATCCTTTTTTTTGCCAATTTATATGTACAGAATTTGCCGTATAGGATTCCATACGCTTCTTGTATGGCAGCACTCCTGTGTTTTATTGGAGTTATCTTATTCTCCATTATGATGACATGGGGATTCAACGCTACTGCTGAACAAACCAGAAGGTCCTTGAGGATACAAGATTGGCCATGGGTGGACAAGGTTGGTTGATCTTGTTTTTTTTGTTTTGTCTTTCTTTCTTTACTTTCCTTTGATTTCAAATGTTTCATTGAATCTGCCGGACATCATCCTTGGGTTTTGCTTTATTTTAGGCCAGCTTTTAGGCATATATTAGTCGTGTAGAGTGAAAACCTAGTTACCATTTCAGTGGTGGGCATTGAGCAGGAAATGGGGCTGTAATGGGATGGTGTGGGACTATAAAGGAAATTACTGTGAGCGCGATGATGGTTTTTTTCTAACTATAAGCGTGGGAAGCAACTCATTGTGAGTTCAGAGATACATCACGGGAATGCGGAAAGTTTTTATGAGGCGGGAGAAGGGCTAGAGCCAAAGAACTTAAGCAGTTTGAGCTGTCCTCACTAGGCCAAATCGACCTCTTACCCGTAGTCTCAGGATATTTGCCGACCGTGAAGTTTCCCTACTCCTTCCTTTTTTCCTTCTATATCTTTCTTTTCTACCTTTTTTCTTTCCCCTTCTTTATTCTCTTCCCTTCGAAGGCTTGGTCAGAACCACAACGATAAAATGCCTGGACGCTCCTCACGTGGTACAAGCAGAGTTTATTAGGTTGTCCGGAAAGTTCTTAGCGTTTTGGGTGTTTAACTTTAAACGATCATAACTTTCTTAACACTCATCGGATTTAATCCAAATAAGCACCATTCGAATCAGCACACTTTTGCCAATGTGGCAGCAGTCGAGAAAATCCCATCAAAAAAACTGGGTGGTCGAGAATCCACGAAATCTGCGAAGGTCTTTTTTGCCTGGTCCTGTTTGATGAAGTATTTCTCAGCAGGAAAGTTCTGAAAATGTCTGAAAAGGTGACAGTCGGTTGGTGAAAGGTCTAGAGAATATGGTGGGTGAGGTAGAACTTCAACTCCCAATTCGTTCAATTTATGGATAGTGATTTGTGAAACGTGTGGGCGGGCGTTGTCATGCAAAAGAATCGGACCCTTTCTTTTGATAAGTGTTGGCTGCAGCTGACAATATTTTCGGTACATTTGGTCGGTTTGTTCACAGTAGGGTTCTGCTGTGATGGTTTGGCCTGGTGATGAAAAGTTATAGTGGATTACAACAGCCGATGACCACCAAACCTGACCAGAATTTTTTTTTCGCGAGGGTTCGGCTTTGAAAATTACCTCGGTGGTTCCTCCAAATCCAACCACTGTCCGGAACGTCTCCTGTTATCATACATGATCCATTTTTCATCACAGGTGACAAATCCGTTCAAAAACGGGTCAATTCTTTTGCGCAAAAGCAGTGAAGAAGGAACCTCGAGACGTGCCGATTCCTGCCGGTCACTCCGATTGTGGGGCACCCAATTGTCGAGTTTTTTCACCTTCCCAATGCGTTCCAGACCATCTGCAACAGTGGATTTGCCAACGCCTAGCTCTTCTGCTATCTCTCGAACTGTTTGGGATAGATCAGCCTCCGAAATCCCCTCAAAATCCTCGTCAGAATTGCTTTAGGTCGATCGCTATGAGGTTCACCTTCAAGGCTGAAATTTCCAGAACGACATTTGTTGAGCCATTGCCGCACAGTGCTTTCTCTAGCACTATTGGGCCCCCACTGGTTAATTTGTTGAGCTGTTTCGATTGCGGATTGCCCCAATTTATAGTCGAAGAAAAAAATCGTCCGAAGTGCTCTTTTCACATGCTTGATCTTGAAAAAGGGGTTTATCAAGCAATGGTGAAACGGCAATTATACCATCAGATAGCGCAAGAAATTCTCTACAGGATGTGCTACTGAGAAGCAAGGCAGAATGAGTTTTTAATCAGCAGTGAATGTACAAAAATAGGTGCACAAAACGCTAAGAACTTTCCGGACAACCTAATACATTCCCGAGGAGGATTCTGCGGCAACTGACGAACCCTTAGCGGAGCAGTGTACACCCTATTTGCAGAAACTTACTTAGTGACCATTTCAGTGCATACGCGCCAAGTCTGTTTTTACGCTGTAATCATCGTGGTTTTCTGTTTGGAGTCTTGCCAGTCTAATGACCAGGGATTCTATCAAAAATCTTCCAATGCTCGCAGCACAGACTGTATTCGAGATGAAAGCTTAACAGTGGCTTCATTTTTGTAGAAATCATGCTATTGTGATCTAGGTCCAGTGTTCTTTGTGGTTGTGCTTTCTGATGTCGACTTTCGCCTTTGTTTTTCCGTTCTTGTGGTATCTGCCAATGTGGTGCGACAAGAGATGAGATGTATCGATCGCTTAGTTCTATTTAGTTGCTTTTTGACTTTTTATCGCGAAACATAATGTCGCAACCTTGCTCTATTCAGGTGAAAAAGCGAAATGTGGCGGAAGATTTGCCTGTGCTGTTGCTATGTTCTGGTGTGCAGCCTTGGTAAGTTCAATAGAAATATTTCTGAGACTTGGCTCTTATGTTAAGGCCATTTTTTGCAGCTGATATGTTGGCTGTTCATCATCTCTATCGTTTCCATGTTTTGCGGTGCCTACTTCATTTTCCACGATCTCTGCCTTGATATATCGACTTTCACAGAAGAAATTTGTATAAATTTTGAGGTCTTCGCTCCTTTAGTGAGGAAGTTTTTCCAGTGCTGTGAGTGAATAATATTTTCTGCTAGAAGTCTACTACATTTTCAACGCCTTTAACAGCTATTGCCGAGCCTAACCTGTTTAGGACCTTCGTCTCTGTGGAGGAGATGCTCAGCAGTTTTGCGCATTTTCTGCTACTGCTCGTTCGTGGTATATCGTGGGATGGGTTGGATCATGTTTTGTCATCATCGGATTGGCAGCTTTCCTAGCCATCCTGGCTGCAAATTATGCACACGTTGGAAATGTGGGCAGGTACGTGATATTGTGGCATTCGAGGTAGCGCTACGATTAACACTTATTTTCGAGTGGATCAGTGTAGGTCTTCAGTCCAGCACACTGCTCGTTAGGACCTGCCAAGTCTTATAGACAAACTGCACCTTTACCGCACAGATTGGGTCCTTGCTATGTATGAGGTGAATCAATTCGCAGCGGCAGTGCCAGTCTCTCCGGTCAAAAGTGCCTGGGAACAGGGCTGAAAAGTAGTGAAACTCGAGTGCCCTCTCCATACTGCGTCCTCGTTGACCCCGGCCAGCAATACGCCCAATCATGGTCAAATCAGCTTGTGCGTTTGTCTATGCGGCTCACACAGCAACTTTGCTATGCGTTTTTGCGCCATATGGATATGATATTTGTCTTCGTAGTGTCTACCTTCCTTAGGACAGCGTTCAGACTTCGCGACGGCAGCGCTTCGGTCGCGCGTTCGACGCGATCGATGCAGTCGAAAGCATGCGCATCGATCGCGTCAAACGCGCGACCGAAGCGCTGCCGTCGCGAAGTCTGAACGCTGCCTTACGGCGCATGTTTCTATCCAGACTGGGATGCTAGGAACTGCCTTTGTGCCGTACAGCATTTCAAAGTTGCAAATTTTAACATTTCATAACTCGCTGGTTAGGTGCGGGTAACAGTTCGGCTCTCCATATTTGTGGTTAGTAGTAATTAATTTGATTTCTGTCAATATTCCTGAGCTCCCAATCAGACCATTTCCGATATTCTTTTCTAGTAAGGAACATGGCTATAATTTTCTTTGGAACAGCGCATCCAGTAGACGTGCGCAAAGAATTCTTTCAGTAAATTTCATTCAGGTATGTTGAATTGCGTGATCTGGCGTTGGATGTGTCATCAAATGGATCTCCAGCACATACAAAGGAGGACTCGTTCTATTACCCGAGCAGTGAAAAGAGTCAACGAAATACTCCACTCGATAGGAATTCGAATGGACCTTCATGGTATGTCTTGCTCAGTTTTCTACCGATTGTTTTCAAATTACTCCGTTACTTTTATTTGTCTATTTTATTATATTGTTTTTACTTCCAACTCAGGTTATCCGGGCTTTTAGCAAAGTAAGCATGTGGAAAGCCGAAAGGTGTATAGTGGGAAGCTGTTTGAGCTTTTTTGATCTATCGTTGTAATAGGAAAAAGGACTGTAAGCCTTGGAGTTTGTGGTTGGTGTAAGAAATAGGATCATAGTCATCGCGATTTGCTCTTGTACATGGATAACTATGGGACAACTAGGGATTTCAAAGAAAACTTAGCGCTCTTTGGCCTGGAGGGGTTAGTTGCACTTTCTCTAGTTCTTATTGTTCTTTCGTTGAATACATTGATTAACTAATAAGTAATAACTAAATAGCTATTATTTGGGGAAACATGTGACCTCCTGTGAGGCTGGTAGAGTGAGCCACTTTGATGAGGGAATTCACAGATTTTAACGAAAAAGACGACTAAAAAGATTTTGCAGGGGGTACCAGTGCCCCACCGAAGCCGAGGCTTGGCGCCGCCGAAAACAGTTGCAAATTTAGGCGAAAGTGATACAAGCGGAGCCGCCTTGCCAGGCGCACAGTCCGTTGTCCAAAAGCGGACTATCTCAAGCCAGTTAAGTCTTCCATAACTCCAGAGTTGTTTAGCAAGTTAGCTGGGCAAGTCGTTGTTTGGGCTCAGTCGTGTTCAGGTACGCCTCGATCCTGACTGGGAGAGGTATGCGGAGTGCATCCCAAACGGGCTTGGTCAACATTGGAACCTTTATCTTTTTTTCCGCTGCAGATTTGCTTTTGGGCGGGTTGAAGGAAAAGAATTGTGTGCTATGAATTTGTGATTTTATAGGTTTCTTTAACTGGTCCATGTCTTGCAAACAATCTGGAAGCTCCCCGAAATTTATGGTAGATCCACAATTTAGAGACGAAATCAACATAACTTAGCTGTTTTAATGAATTGATCAATATTTTGGACTCTAGGGAATTATTCTATTTGGAAGTGTGTTAATTCCTAGTAACCTATCGGTTTTAGGCAACGGCATTATGATGGGTCAACATCAACGAGTCGTTTGGCTGAAAAAATGTCCGATTCTTTCAGTCAGTATGCGTACCGTCCAAGGAAAAAACCGTTCTAATTTATTTATACGCTTCCAATTTCGGCTGTTTTTGTCTCATATACTTAACACAGCTAATCTGCGAAGTGTAATTTGGGCTTTGGACTAAGATCAAAGTTTAGTTCCTGTTCTTATCGAATTAACCTTCGTTAGAGATTTGCCTGAATCTCGTTAAGGTTATTTGATTTTTGAGACCGGACGAGGTTGTGAGCTTGCTCGTTCTTCGTCTCACCCTCGCAAGGAATTTCCTTGTAGTTTGTCACCTCTCAGTGTTGTTATTGCTTTCCATGTTTTCATACTCTTTTCTAGGTTTGCTTTCGTGATAATTTTGTGATGTCTCACTGCTTTCCACTAATTGCTCCACTAATTCACTTTATTTTGTACATATCAGCAGTTTTCTATTTTTCAAAATTTCTGGTTAGATACTTTGGCGCTGATGACCTTGGTAGGGAGTAGGGGTTGGATTGAAGGGACTACTCGTGAAAACTGTTACCTCTATGCGGATGACGTTAGTCCCAGTTTTGCACCAATGTACCGCCTGCTAAGTGAACATGTCAAAATTTTTATGAGTGTACTGATTTCCTTGGCACGATTCACATGAACTCTATTTTTCTGAGATGGTTTTTTTGATAAAGATTGATGATTCACTTTTCTGGAATTCCTGCTTTGGTTTTCTTTTCCAAACTATTTATTAATATCATAGGCATAGGTCGTCTATGCTGGGATCCCAGCGGAGGAGGGGGAGGAAGCGAGTAGTCGCTGGAAGGTGGAGAGCGCCGTGAGTCTCGTAACTTTCATTGCAGAAATGTGTGACATTGTTCAGCCGTTTCAGTTTCTACTATTCTCCCGCGTGGCTGTAAGCCTCCGTTCGGCGGACATTTTTTCGGAGAAAAGCTGAGCATTCTGGGAAAAAATCTGAAAATGCGTTAAGAAGTTGAGAAAGTTTAGGGGAGCGAAGAAGAGGGGCAGGTGATTTCGTACCAGAGGAGGAGATTTTGAGGGGTGGATTAGGGTTCGTGTTGTGTAAATTTCTCTCGACGTGCCCTTTGTATCTTGCGAAAGTATGGTCACGGGAGAAACAGCAGGATAGATAACAGCCGTTCGATCACTATCACTATTTTGTTTACATTTCTGCTGCTTTCCCGTCCCAGTTCCCGTTGTTTTAATGGCAAAGAAGGTATAGGTAATAATATTGATTACTGTTTTCGAGTCAATTACCGATTTTCTATAGAGTCGCTCGAAGCGACGTTGTATGAAAAAGGTGAAACCTCGGAAGGAAGAGATTTCTCCGATTGATGTAAGGAGTTCTTCTCAACAAGTGAGCGCCATCACAGAAAACATCGCATCGATCGTTCAAGTTCTGGGATCTGTGGTGGGTGGTATTTATTAGTTTACTTATTTTTACTGGTTATTATTAGTTCACTTATTTTTAAAACTTTTTCACAAAATGAAAATCAGAGCGGACCCGCAACGAAGTGTCTCGGTGACGTACTCGAACGAAGCGCTGCAGCACTCGAAGAGTTGAACACTCTCAGTTCCTCCATAACAGCAGACACCGTCGCTGTGAGTTCCTTCATTATTGTATCGTCCATGGTTATGTGTATTCCATCATGGTGGGGCACTGGCTCTGACGCAGTTGGGGGGGGGGAAGGAGGTGAGGGGGGAGTACCAGAACTCTGCCGTGTCTCTGTATGCCAGAAAGACTTGGGCTTAGAGCACAGGCGACCAGAGTCGCCGAGGGATAGCCGCGCAGAGGAGACATTACTCTACTAAGCCTAAGCCTTGATTAGGAAAGGTATATGGAGGCGCTAGAGCGTTGTCCTCTCTCCAACTACGTTAGCACTGGTACATTTTGGAAAAGGGTCATAAAACAGTCAAAGCCACGACGAAAATCCCCATTCCCCATTGAAATATCGAGCTCTAGATGCCATCAAATATTTTGAAAGAAAGGTAGAAACGGAGCCCATGACATTACAACGACTCCTTGTGCAAAATTAAGATTACCGTAATCCCCACAAAATATTATTATAAAATATCGTAAATATTACTCGTCAGCCGGATCTCTTGGCCCAGCCAAGCACGGGATAAGAGAATTTCAACCAAACTCCT